CCCCCCCCCCCGCGCATCAGACCTGTCCTGCTTATACAAATTCCAAAATTCTCACAATGATAGGATCGCGTATTCCCACTCTGTATGAAGTATTTGTTATTCAATTGTCTTGCAATATGTCTTGGCTTATTTGGGCCACTGCGAAAAACAATTAAAGGTTTTCTCTGTCTTCCGATTGAAAGTTTGGACTTCCTTCCAATCCATATCATTGCCCGCGAGTTCCACATACTAGATAACGGTTTTACGGCAAATGGTGAAAATTAATTCTGATTTTTGTCTCTTTTCCTATAAGATCCTATAACCCCTCAATCAACCAAGCAGAAATACAACAAAAAGTGTCTTGCGCACAGCTCAAGGAAATATTTTAACTTTATTTACAAACGGCTGAAAGCAAGCGGCAAGAAATACGATTTTTCCGTAGTCAGTAATGTCTCGATAAGTAAGAGGTTCTTAAGCATTCGATTGATCCCCTCCTCTCTCTCCCTGAAAACCATGTGATCCCAAAAATCCTCCGCCCCCCTCTTCGCAGGTGAATAATAATTGGTTACTTAGAGCAATTGAATGAAAACCGCTGGTCATGAATTAATGCAACAATAATCTGTCCTTGTTTTGTGTACTTCCCTCATTGTTTCCGGTTTTTAACCGGAAACCAAACAAACGTCACATGACTTTCACGGGATCGGCATTCAGCTGCAGTGAGGGAACATGGAGGTAGGACGCCTCATTTGTGCGGCATTTTTTCTCGCCTGCACCGGCCTTTGCACCGCTAAACCGCAGGAACTCGTGTTCCTTGAAAGCAGCCACGATTTGGAAGCTTGGCGAGCGGAGGGTTGGGAAAAAGCGGAAAGACTCTCCCCGACGGAAGATGTTTTTCTCACCTTCGCTCTCAAGCAAAGAAATTTAGAATCGCTCGAGCGACATTTCTGGCAGGTCTCCGATCCCAAGTCGTCGGAATATGGCAAACACTTGTCGTTATCCAACCTGACGCAGCTTGTATCACCTTCTGAAGCGACTACTTCTACAATCAACTTATGGCTAAGAAGGCATGGCATTCAGCAGAGCGACTGCACGACAATTCTTACCGGAGATTTCTTGACCTGCCGAATGTCTTGTGCAGCAGCAGAGGCACTTCTTGTTGGGGCGAAGTTTCACCGCTTTAGACATACAAAGCTCACACGGCCCGTGATTCGCTCGACCCATCTATACAGTGTTCCGAAGACAGTGTCTCCTCATTTGGATTTCGTGGGTGGGGTACTTCATTTCCCAGCGGTGAATGGCCCATCCTCTCCCAAAGTTAATGAGTACGCGCTCTTCGAGATTGAGAAAAAACCATCAGTTAGGGGCCAAGTACACATCGGTGTTTACCCGAGTGTTTTACGAGAGCGTTATAATGTTTCCGATGTCGTTGGCACGCATCCCAAAAACTTACAATCTGTAGCACAATTTCTGGAACAGTACTACAGTCCTTCTGACCTGAAGGAATTCTTAGCCCTGTGGGGAGGTTCCTTCAAGCATCTGGAAGAGATGGCCAAAGTTATTGGGCCTGATAGTGGTCGCTCTGGCATTGAAGCTAGCCTGGATACCCAGTACATCATGAGTCTGGGTGCAATGGTACCTACGTGGTTCTGGAGCACTGGTGGGCGTCATGAGTCACAAGAGCCCTTCCTGGAATGGCTCATTGACATCAGTAATCGCACAGATGTACCGTGGGTGCACAGCGTCAGCTACAGTGATAATGAAGACACACTGGATGTCACCTACATGAACAGAATCAATGTAGAGTTCCAAAAGGCTGGTGTTCGAGGACTCACCTTCCTCTTTGCCAGTGGAGACAATGGTGCTGGCTGCAAAAAGAAGAAGTTTCGCCCCATGTTTCCATCATCATCCCCTTATGTTACTACTGTTGGTGGAACAGCATTTAATGATCCTTTCACAGTGTCTGGTGAATATGCCTATGACATAAGCGGTGGAGGATTCAGCAATGTATTCGATCGTCCTTCTTACCAAACTGATGTTGTTGAGAATTACCTGAAGACAGGACCACACATACCTGCGGCATCATACTTTAATCAAGCAGGGCGTGGTTTTCCTGACATTGCAGCCATATGCAATCACTTTTGGATCATCAATAATAGGATTCCTGTTCCAGGGGTCATGGGAACATCAGCTTCAACACCAACCGTGGCTGGTATCATTTCATTGGTGAATGATGCACGTTTTCAACAAGGGAAATCTTCCCTAGGATTTTTGAATCCTTTCCTGTATCAAAATGCAGCGGCAATGTATGATGTTACAACGGGTTATAATGATGGTTGTCTTGAGGGAGATACAGGATTCTATGCTGCTGCTGGTTGGGATCCTGTGACAGGCTCAGGTAGTCCAAACTTCCCTGATTTGGTCAAGGCTGCCCTAAGCAATCAATGAAATTTCAGAAGGGGTAGAAAAAAGTCATATAAAGTTATTACAACATTGAGATGCTAGGGAACTGAAACAAACATTGAAAGATAGGGCTTTTTAGATATATCACTTTGTATCATGTCACATTTGTGCTAAGAAAATTGCAATCCAAGAATTCGGGTTTTGTATTTGAACACTGTTAATCAAAGTTTTTGGATTAAGATTTTTGGTAAATAAAATTCATTTTTGAAACTGCATCTGTATTTTGTGATGAGTTCTAACAAGAGTTAATTTCATTAAGGTTTTCAACTGTAAACAATTCCATCACCTCTTAAGGTGATGAGCATCTACAAGGTTGTGCTCTAAGAAAAATTCTAAGTCGCCCATAAGCAAAAGTTAGGCGCAAGGTGCCACCAGGTGCTGGTAGACCACAGCTATGATCTAATTTTTCCCAATAGTATCACTGCTGGATCAAACCTACTGTAAGGTTGTGAAAATAAAGCAAGTGATCGTGAACTCAAGAAGCTCGTAACCCTTTGACTACTAAAAGTGACTAGCATCTAATTTCTCCCTTCACTGTTTTTGCCAAATCATTCTTTAATCCTTTAACTCCCAATTCTCCTTACTGTCTGCCAAATGGTTCTCATTATGTTAGTTTGGAGAATTTGGTATTGGATCAATTAGTAATCCCATTATTGATATATTTCTTTATTCTCATCACTTGTCTGTATGAGATTGTATAGATATAGTAAGGAGAAATTCTGTCTTAGTCACTCATAGGACTTAAAGGTTTAAGTTCATGAGAATAAAGGAAATGATCACCAACTTAAGGAACTACTTAAGGAACTCTTGATTGTTAAACAAATTCTCTTTGTCAGCACCTTAGGAAATGTATGGTGAACAGTATGAAGAATATGCTTACTGATGTCAGGGTTTAAATGACGTATTGAAATTGTAAGGAAATGTATTCAGCATATTTAACAGAACTTGCATGCAGATGTTTGGGTACAAATGGTTACTGATGTGCTGTTGCCCTTTGTTCTTTATACAGAGTACTTTATCAACCTGTGAGCCCCTCTTCTGTTACTGGGTATTCACATTAGACTGCATTGCTTTACTGCTCACTTTTATCCCGGTTTCTTCGGCCTTAACCAACCTTATTTATCACAAGTATGATCACAGACCAACTTGGAGGACACAAAGTCTTGTTACCAATCAATCATAAAAATTACAACTTTGGAGAAAAAGAGAAGAGCCAAGTTATGAAAGAGAAGATTTGCTATAAAAGTCTAATAGGGGAGGCATAACTTGTTTAATGTCCCTCTGAAATTGACTACAATCAAAATGAACATGATTGTTTGATCTAAAACCACAACTTTGAATGTGATTGGCTTATTGAACTGTCTGGTAACAAACTTTCTGATAAAAAACTGTCCAATAACAACTTGGCAAGTGAATAAGTGGAAAATAGGACTTTTTTTAAACCAATCACAGTTGAGAAAATTGTAAATTTTTTTATTATTCTAAGTGTTTGCAGACTTTGTTGTAAGCTGAACCTTACTAGGAAGTATAGCAGATGCACAACAAGAACCTCACAATGATCAGGAAATTGTCGTTGTCCCCCTTCTTACAGATGTACAACGAGAACCTCACAATGATCAGGAAATTGTCGTTGTCCCCCTTCTTACAGCACTGTGTGAACAACTGATAGGAATATTGGAAAATCATCCACAACAAAAAGTCTCTGAATGTGAGGCATTTTCAAACAATTACTTTTAAAAGGCACCCTCATGCTGCTTTTATTAAAATGCATTTTGCTTCACGAGAAAATTAGTAACCACAAATTAAGACACAGGAATCTTTGAATCCATGACTTTCCCCAGTTCCTTAAGCCACAATGTACTAGGTTCCTTGGAAATCACTGTTAAATATTTACTCTGTAGTGAACTGTGAAAAATCCAACTAATTTTAAAAAAACCAATGCCAAGGAAACAACTTGAATCATGAGTGTTTTCCATAGATGAGACTGCTTTAAATACTGGTAATTCTGGAAGTTTTCAAAACAGATTCCATTTTTTTATTTCTCATTCTTACACTGGTTAAAAAAAATAGTTCACAGAAAACAGTATTTTTTGAAATAGGAAAGTCCCTGTTTTCATCATTCAGATTATCTGGTAGAGATCTGATTGAGATGAGGTATTGAGACCTCAATGTTTCTACAAGGAACTGTCTTTGTTACAAATTTGTAGTATCATCTTTTTTTGTAAATACATGGCTTAAGTTTTAAGCCCTCCAGTTTGCCGGATGAAACTGGCATTTTACTGTTCTGAACCTTTACAAAATCAAACAGAATGAACATCTTGTTGGTAGAGTCCTAGGAGATAAAATAAATTGTTATAATCTCTAACCAAAAACAAAGAGCTTTTGCAGAGTAGGGATTGGGAGAAGTCAAAGTAATCAGACAGTGTTACAACAACAACGATAACACCACCCAACCTTAGATCACCAGGGATTGGAATAGACTTTGCAGAAACTGTTGGGAATGGCTTATCAATGCTGGGTAACTGTCCAAATCCTGGTTTTTAACAAATATTACCCTTGGATTTTGAGAATCTCGATGACTTATCTCCAACATAAATGCAGGAGGTTAATTATCAAAATTATCTGAGCCTAAAGCTAATAATAATGATAATAATAACAATGATAGTAATATATAGTAGCAACAGTAATAGTAATGATCTTTAGTGTAGTTACTCAAGATTTGGTTTTAAATAATCTTTTTCTGCATTTTTGCCTCCTTTTCATTTAGGAACATAAAAAGAAAATATAATGAGAGAAAAAGTATTGAAAAATCTTCAACCAACTGGGGTGTACTGCTGTCATAATAACCTGTTTAAAAATAATTTCATACCAAAGAATAATTTTACTGCCGACTGAAAAACATAAAACCAGGGAGTAGAAATAAAGTTACCATAGTGAATATCACACCTCATTCTCCAGTTTAAATCCTAGTCTAAGTAGAGACCTGACAAACTCTGCTGTGTCATTGATACGACTTGTCACCTCTGCCACTTTCAGAATACCTCTACAATATAAATTATACAAACTATTGTATCATAAGGCATGTAATAAGGTTGTACTAAGGTTATAGATTAAAAATACAGTAATCTGATTTTTATGGCAATATGAAACTCCTAGATTCCCCGATCCTATGCACAATAATTGGGCAGTCCAAGCTGTAGTCAACTCTGTGATGAAGACTTCAACCTATTTTATAAAATGATACTAAAACCTAAATTATTAAAAATATGTAGACCTTATAAAATTCTTGCTTTTGAAAATAGGAAAAAGTTCCTTGTGACTGGAGCACTCAAAATTATCATGATATAGAAGTCATCTCTTTTAAAGTCACAATATATTACTTAGTGTTACCTGTGGTACATATAAATACAATCAAATTAAAAAAAGAGGTAATGACTGAGTCTGTACCCCAGTTTAAGGACTCTGTGGGCTTCTGTCAAGAAATCGACAAGGTTGGTTCCCATTAATGAAAGACAGAAGACAGCAACATCGACACTTGCAGGGCTTAAGGGGACCTGAAATGCAGGAGACATGAGTTTAAAGCCACCACAGATGAATTAGAGTTGAGTCTCGGCAGAAACAATAAATCATAAACCTGAATGACTTGTGATTGACACAAACCTTTGCCATATTGCATGCTGTTACAAACTTATTTTTGGCCACAAGATCAAATGAATGTACTTTGTTTGCAACACTCTGGGCAATTGCTGCTTCTCCACAACCAAAATCTGCAACCACATTGGATATTGATCTACAAATAGATAACACTGACGAGTAAGTAAATATTATAACTACAAATGTAAATATGCAGATACCATCAGCATTGTTTGGGAAGAAACACAAGCCAAAAGGACAACCTTTGTGTGAAATAAACTCAGTGTTTACACTTAAGCCTGTAAGATCTGATAAGAAATTCTTCTTTTCTTCTCCAACATATTTTCTAGTAAATAGGTATAGAGCTATTGGCATTAGATCAAAACAACAACCTCAAGCTGATAACCTTGTACAATTTATCTGTATTGTAAAGAAGAGCTACATGGCCTAAATGTTTGATTCATAATAAAAAGGCAAAAATAGATACTAGTCATTCTAGTTTCCACAGTGACCAAGCCAAGGAAAATTGTACAGTATTATAAAAAAAAATCAAATACCACTGGCTACTGTAAATCACAGTTCATTGTATTCAATACCTTTTCTTCAACCACTCTATGATTTTGTCAACAGGATTAACTGGCCATAATCTGACTTGATTGTTGAAACCTTTGTGATAAATATCAAACAGGTTTGGATCTTCAGAGAACATCTCAGCTGCCTCCTTCCCTGTTGTAGTGTAGAGTTGTTCATTTATCCATCTGAATCGAGAAGATTCCAATTGCTTAGTCATCTTTTCATGAAGACTTGACTTACTTTGAAGAGCAGAGGGAGGATGAATGTTTTCACTTGTGACCTGGGGGTTTTCAAAGTTCTTTCCTGCTACTGATTCTTCATAGGGGCTATGGAGGTCTTGTTCCCTGTCTTGTTTTTTCTTCTTTCTTCTTTGTTTTTGATTTGCCTCTGGAGCAGTTTGCTCTGAATTCGTTATAATTGTAGAATTGTCTACATGACCATTATCATCCCCTTTATTTTTCTCTCTTCGCCTCTTTGTCTTGGCTTTATTAATTCCAGACTGATTTACCCCTGCTGTGGTTTCAAGATCTGAAGCGATCCCTTCATTATCTGTACAAGCCTGACAAGTGGGATCAGTACTTTTATGACATCGATTGTCACTAACACCCTTTATTTGATCCTTCTTCTTGTGCTCATTGCTATCTTCCTCGTCACTTTGACTCATCAATATGTCCTTCTTTTCTTTCCTGCTCTTGCGGCGATTTAATTTCTTAATGCGTTCTTGTTCTAGAGCCTTTTCCACGGGTCCCGTATAATTTGAAGTCGCTTTATCAACCTCGAGATCTTGCTCTTTCATGACATTGGCATCACCTCTTTCGTTTCCTGGACACTCTGAACCTAACCTTTGCTCTGTCTTAAATTTATTATTATCTCTCTTCTTCTTCTTTCTTTTCTTTTTTAATTGTCCCGTTTTATTGTTGCTTTCGGTGGCTTTTCGTTTCTTACTCTCTGAAGCACCCACACCATTCTTGAGTGATCCATTACTCGCCAGAGAAGTAGAACATTTGCCATTCTTTGAGGATATATCCCCGAACAAATGATGAATGAGAGAATCCTGTTCCTTTGATGTGCTTTCCCACTCCAAAATCTCGAAAGAGTCTTGCATTTCTGTCATCTTAAGCTGTAATTTGCCAGATTTATATATGGTCATGCACGTCCGCCATGATTGAAAAACAATTCTTATGGTCAGCGTGAATCCAAACTGACTTACACCGGAGTGAGGCTGCAGTCGACCTCTTCAGCTCGATCCACGATCCATCATGGCGGTGGGTAAAAATAAGAGACTGACCAAAGGAAAAAAGGGACTAAAAAAGAAGATGTGAGTGTTATAATTAAAACATATTTCCATGGAACTGTTTGTCTTTCATGTAAGACTCACTCTATGAAAGTAGATGTCGTGGATGGCGAGAATTGGTCAAGGATTCGAGCGGATGCATACTTTGTGTTTTTATTTCAATTCTGCGAATGGATACTTTTAGTTGGACGTTTGACATTTTAAAGTTTTTAAAGTGTCGTGGAAATTTAACATTCCGATAAATGCTTTATATGGAGGTGACTCTCAGGTGTGGTTCTGTAGAAATTATGCGATAGTAAATAGCTTTTTTTTGTTTTTATTAGCGTTGATCCCTTCACCAAAAAAGATTGGTACGATGTCAAGGCTCCGTCGATGTTCACCATCCGACAGATCGGCAAAACCATGGTGACCAGGACTACTGGAACCAGTAAGTCACTTTGTTTAAAGCGCTATGCCTGAGATGGGCCAAATTCAATTTTGTTTAAATCAGTTCGGTATTCTGTAACTCACATAAGTTGTCCACTTTCGACATGTAATCCCAGTCTCCTGCCTTTTCCTTCCGTAAGATTCGAAAATTGATTCTCCTAGCTGACAGGAATGCACGTCTTTGGTGTTCGTTTGTCAGAATTTAGCTTAACGTGGGAACAATATCTCAAAGTTGATAATTTTCATAATTTTAGCTTGCCTTACATGCAACATAGAAAACTGCACTGTACTACTCACAAACATGAGACCATAATATTGCCTTATAAAGGCATGGACTCCAAAAAGGACTTTTCCAAGCCACCTGCTCTGTAAAAGGGCTAATGCTGGAATTATCAGCTGTAGAAATTATTTGCAGTGGGCAATTTATGCGAGCAACTCTGCAGATAAAATTAAATTGTCTTTTATACTCTCCACTGATGCAGCATCATAGTTTCTTTAGAAACTTATCCCCTTTACTTTCCAAGGTACTTACCTCTCACCAACCCAGTTCAAGGTCTGTACTGTAAGCTGCATTCCAAGTTTTTTCCTCTTGGATTTTTGACTCAAGGGCAAAACTAGTGGGCTAGAAATCCAAGAGAAAAAAGGAGGTTTGAGAAATTACAGCACTGACCAAGAAAACAAGGGTAGTATTTTATTTTATATATCTATAGGTTCACAAAATTTACTAATTATGACTACCCTTCATTCACAAAAATTCTGTAATTTCTTTTTGTACAGAAATTGCTTCTGATGGTCTTAAGGGACGTGTGTTTGAAGCATCATTGGCTGACCTCCAAAACGACGAGGTTGCTTTCAGGAAGTTCAAGCTTATTGTTGAGGATGTCCAGGGTAAGAACTGCCTCACAAACTTTCACGGCATGGACATGACAACAGACAAGCTCAGGTCACTGGTTAAGAAATGGCAGGTCAGTATTGTGGTCATGATTTTCAGTTGAGTGTTTAAATTATGAGGAGCAAGAGTACACTTGACATTTGTTAGTAAGCAGGTCATTTTTCCAGGCAGTAATTTGAATTTGGGGTAGCACATTGTCATTGTCATCCCCACTAGCTTCACCAGCAAAAAATATATTTCCTTGGTACAGTTTACACTGTAACATCAGTATGTTTATTCTCCACACTGTTCTCTGTACATTTCTTGAAGTGCTGACAAGGTGAATTTGTCAAGCAATCAAGTTTCTTTAGTTGATGATTATTTCCTTTATTTTGGTGATCTCAATGCTTTATTCAGGGGTGATATTGTAAGGAGAAAGTAGATGCTGGTCACTCTAAAGGGTCAAAGGTTGAATTATGTCCCATACTGTTAAGAGTTTGAGATTTTTCCATGAAGGAGAAGGAGTAAAGAGAGTAAAGAGTGGCTGGAAAAAAGTTTCTGGTATCAAAAAAGTGTCTGGTATCAAAAAAGTGTCTGGTATCAAGCTTGATCTGTATTCTTAATCTGTCATTTTTCTGTCTGTTTTATAGACCCTGATTGAGGCAGCTGTTGATGTGAAAACCACTGATGGTTACCTGTTGAGGTTGTTTTGCATTGGTTTCACAAAAAAGCGAGCCAACCAAATCAAGAAGACAGCCTATGCCAAGCATTCACAAGTGAAAGCCATTCGCAAGAAGATGGTGGACATCATTACTCGTGATGTGAGCACTGGTGACCTCAAGGATGCAGTTAACAAATTGTAAGTTATGTAACACTGGTAAAATTGTCTGTGGTGAAAGTGGAGTGTAATTAAGAGAACATGAGAGAAATTTAAAGATCATGAGTTCAGAAGCAAGTGGTTTACAAACTTTTAGAGAGTTCTTCCAACATCCTGTGTGGGTTATTAGGTCGGTAAACCAATAAAAAGTGTGGTCTAATGGTTTTCTAAAATAAAATTCAATTTTAATTGATTGATAATTGTGTTAGTGTATGGAAATTCACAGTGCATCTCTCAGATGTTCTTGGAGAGTATGCAAATTTTGGGACAAAGTTGGAGCCAGTGTTTGCAGAATCTTATTAAATTGTTGCTTTCCATTTGCAGAATCCCAGATGCATTTGGCCGAGACATAGAGAAGGCATGTCAGTCCATCTACCCTCTCCACGATGTGTTCATCAGAAAGGTTAAAGTTCTCAAGAAACCCAAATTTGATCGTAAGTTTGCTCTCTATTACTTTACAAGGTTCATTAACCCTCTCCTTACTATCTGCCATATAATTCTTATGATGTTCAGAGAATTTGGTATTGGATCAACTAATCCCATGATTGATATTCTTCTGTATTCTCATCACCTGCCTGCTTGATATTGTATTGATATTGTAAGGAGAAATTCTGTCTTGATCACTTGTGGGAGTGAAAGGGTTAAAATAGTATGATGTGTATTAGTTTTTAACACTGCATCCATTAAAACCTGGGTAACCAAGACACGAGACAATGTAAAGGGATTTTTAACATGCACCACCTCACCTCTTGCATGGTCTCACAACAAGTGGAAAGAAAAGGCAACTGGTCTTATTTGGTGGTAATGGTTTAAGGTTAAACATGTCTTATACTTTTTTTCCTTTCAGTTGGCAAGTTAATGGAGATGCACGGCGAGGGAGCAAGCCACAGCACCACAGATGAGAGTGGCACCAAGATTGAGCGCGACAGCTTCGAGCCACCTGTGCAGGAGTCTGTGTAAAAAATATTCAGTGAAAATTGAACATAGAAAATTAAACTTCTGAAAGAAAATGTGTGATTGTGTTTATTATCATAGAATGTTTTAGTGACAGTGTTAACCTTTTCACCCTTAAGATCTCACAAGTAATTTTACTTGCTGTCTGCTAATAGAATTTGTTATTGGATCAACTAGCAATCTCCTGATTAATATTTTCATGACTTGTTTTTTTGATATCGAAAGGAAAGATTCTGTCTGGGTCACTCGTAGGAGTTCAAGTGTGTAGGATTCTGTTTACTGGAACAGTGAGGGGAGGATGAATGACATTTCTAATCTGAAATTTGTTCTCTTTTTCTGTAACGCTAAAGGAGACATGCATCAACAAAGACAATTGAAATGCAATGTGTTGGTCGGTCTATTTAACTAAAACAATCATTTGCATTTTGAGTACACTGAGTTTGATTGGAGTCATATTTTTTAGAACTGGAGTAGATGTTGCAACATCTTTGATGATATTCATGTTATTGAAGCATATTCAGAGTTCCTGCATAGGAAATTTACAAGAACTAGACTTTTCAAAAAAAGTTGATAGGGTTTTAACTTATACGAGAAACAGTTTGCAAAGTTCTGAAGTAACAAAAAAGTACATGCATGTTGAACGCTACCATGAATTAATACACACATCAATGACTTACAAGGGGATGATCATCTCTTCTTGAGTCTTTATTCTCGTCATTCTCGTTATAAATACACTTAATTTATAGCAACAGGAGATCACTTCGGATGATCACATCCAGAAATCGTAGAAAAATTATTTGCTGAATTTAACACGGATAAGCTTAACGTCATGTTCAATCGTTTTCCCAGTGAGGTACGACCAGATAAGTGACATGACATTCTTATTTCCCTGATAAAATTCGATTGAAACCTTGATTCGTGCCGTCACACAATACAACGTACGATAAATATGGGTGTAGCGCGATATTCTCAATTGGACCTCAGTAAAATTGTCACGCCAAGCTCACACAAGTGGTTCCCAGGCCGTTAATCGTTTCCCTCCAACATGTCCTTTACTGTTCGATAAGTACACCTGTCCATCTCGGGGCCGATTTCTGCCAGAACGTCATCCACCAAGGCGCGTTGTCTGGGTTGCTGAGAAATGATCAATTCACCAAAAAGGTAGATACCCATTCCCTACAAATGAGGATAAAAAAAGATGGAGCATTGTTGAAGCCTAAATACTCCTCATTGCCTCTCTAAGTTGGAACTTGAATTACGCATAAACAGAATCCCGGGTAGTCACCGACACTGTGGTAAATAGTTATTTCAGTGCATACTAAAACAGTTAGATAATAAAACGCAAAAGATGATTTTAACTCATTTATCCCTCCAATGATCAAAAATACCAAAATTGGCAGTAACATCGCAATCTGATCGGCCAACTTGCCGTTGTCGATAAGAGTTCATACGACACTGCTTGCGTCAACGTGTCACGCACTAAAATAATCGTTTTATTTGGCGTCGATACTGTGGTAAAAAAAATAATTTGTTGCGGACTCACTCGGCTTCGCGTCGTGAGTCCACAAAAGTTTGACCATTGTGATGACGAATATCGTTTTTCGAAAAGATTACAGACTACGCTAAGCCACTGTCGATTTGTTAAATTTTCAGGTACAAATCCTACGCGAGTTGCTCAGAGGTGTAGAGCAAAGGATATTTGGAGTTTAAGCAGACAATTAGAGCGCGCCTTCAACGCGATCAACTGTTTTAATATACTCC